TGTAGTGTACACACAGAGTGATGTCACTTGTTTTGTGCATATTCAAGTGTTTAGACCCTTTTTTGTGATTGAGTGTTTTTAATAACAACTGTTTGAGTAATCGGGATGAATGTTTGACATTACTGATGAGTCAGTAACAACACACAGAGACCCACAGCACCAAAAAGGGACATGTTAAGGTGATAGTCATAAAAAAACAAAAACAAGGAACCGTTAATAAAATGTGTTTCATTTACCATCATATCCAACAAAATAAAACCTGAAATCCTCACATTCGAGAAGCTGAATTTACAGCATGTCAGAGGTATGAAAAGGCACATAAAGTGAAGCAAGCAAAAGCAGTTTATGTCTTGGGACTCATCGTACTACTAGATGTACAGATTGCTTTGCTTTCTTCTCAGTTTACTTTTACAGACAGTGTTTATGTCAGGTCCCAAACTGAACACAGCATCAAGCCATTGGTGAAAGGTTAGGTAAGTCATTGGCGAGGGAAAGCGCTGTTGGCTGCCCGTATTATTACATCAGCTTTCTGGAGAGGGAGTGGACCACATCAAGATGAATGTTTGTAAAGTTCAGAAAAGATGACAGAATGCTTTTCTTTATTTACTCCTATTGTATGTTGTTCCTTTTCAGAGGGGCTTATACAACGTTGGTATAAATACGAGACTGATATCTGGTAAGTAGAGCTGAACAGCCCAGAAGAAAAAAGAGAGGTTGCAGAACAAGGCGCTGAGGAGGAAATGAGGTGTGATGGGAGAACAAGAGGGAGGGGTTGAGGTGAAGATGACCTAGTCCATAATTCATTTCACTCATAATGGCTTCGTTGGCCCGAAGAGCTGCAGGAATAGTGCAGGCAACCTGATCCCTGGTAACCCAAAGAAACCGGCTAGAGACACAGCCCTGTCTCCAGGCAAACTGTTCTACAGTGTGATAATACAGCCAGCTCTTTGTCTACAACACGCACACTCAAAATCGTTTGCAAGGATATACATCTGCCTGACCCTCGCAGCCAAAGATGCAGTGTGCACACAAACATATAGAGGTGATTATGTAAGTACAAGACAAATAAAGAACAGTTGTTTACACCAGGCTGTCAGGAGGCTGAACTCCCTCCCTCCTCTCCCCTCTCTCCCCTCTCTCCCCCCTCTCCACCCTGCACACACTCAAATCCAGCACCAGACACTTTTTCTTTTTAAGCTTCTATGGACAATCTGCAATAAATGCACATCTATGGACAATCTTGCACCAAAGATATTGATAGTGAAGTGACTGTTATTTTGTATACATTGATTATTGTGTTTTTTTATCTCAATGTGTGCATATGTGTAAATGTTGATTGTGTATATAGGATATACATATGTGTATACTGTATAATTTTATTGTATTCGGGATTTTTGGAAACGTCATTTCGATCTGTCTGTCTGTACACACAAACTGAAAGATTGACATTAAAGTTGACTTTGACTTGAATAATGGCATTTTCAACATGTTGATGTACAGACAGGAGTAATGTGCAGCTTTAATGCGATCCCTACCCTGTATTTCACTAAGTACTGGGATGGAGAGAGAGAAGAAAAAAAAAGTTGGTTACTGTGGTTCTGGGGAGTTGGGGATATTGTTATTTTCGCAGTAAAGACTTGTGGTTTGCACAGACATGGCAACTGCAGTTGTGGTTGGTTGGTTTGCATGTTTTGGACGGATGGCGTAGGGTAATATGACTTTCCTTGTTGCTTGAGTTGCTCAGAAATAAGAGAGCAGTAACAGTGTAGGTTTAATCGCAGAAAGGCTGGCATAATGACTGTGGGGCATACAAATGACTTAGGCCCAGGGTTGTCTGTGGATTTAGGCAGAGCTCAGAGTCTGCTCTGATCTGGGCTCCGTGGGTGTTTTGTAATTACAAGTGGCAGCAGTTGGTCTTATTTGTGGCAATCCCAGGTAATAATGCATGCAGTTATTATATGACTCAGTCCTGTCAGAGAACTTGTGGGTTTTTAAAGTCTGTTCTTGGTCAGGTTTGGAGCCTCTTCTTATTAGTCTCTGTTTCATCCAATTGACCATAAGCCAGAAAGACTGTTGGAGTCAAAGGGTCTGTGCGCCCAAAGCTTTTACCGCTAGTGGTATCCAGACATGCAGATTATTTTGGTTTTATCCATCCATCTCTGCCTCCACCACAGTACAATTAAGATGACGGAATTGGTGTTGATCTAATGTTTTAAAAAATGGAAAAAATTCAACAGCAGCTAGCCTCCCCTTTAAGAAACAGTGTCACTGTCACTCTGGATAATCACACGTCCCTCAATTGTTTTCACTAGAACACAATCTCTATGTTGACAGTTGAAAGTATGTTTTTAAGGATTTTTCAGAGTTGTTGCGGCCCAACTTGAGTCGACAATACACTAACTGCTGACCTACTATGCTGTCTCTTGCTGCTACTGCTGTTGCATCTGCCGCTCATACAGACTTTTAAAGGTCCCACCTTCATTTGGAAGCACTTGTATGTATACTAATAAAGGACTGGCTTATCTAAAGCCAGTTGAGTAGCACTTGAAATGTTTTAGCTCTATGAAACCTGATGTACTTATATGATTTTGTTTTCTTCAAGTTTGTACTTTGTTGGTCGAACGCACTTATTGTAAGTCGCTTTGGATAAAAGCCTCAGCTAAATGTAATGTAATGTAATTTGATCTTCCACCTGAAGTCACATACAATGGGCTCCAAATGAGTTAGACATAGCGGACTGACATAACATTCCTCTAACCAAGCCATTGTGAAACGTTACACTTCATGGCTGCCATCAAGCTCATCAATTTAGAGTCAAATACAGTTGTTTCAGTGAAATATAATTTAAAATCAGTTACAATCATGATTTTATTCTATTTATGAACCACAAATAAAATCAATTCATATAAACAAAACATTTAAAAAGTGTTGTGATAAAATGGCTTACAAATATGAGGCTGCTCTCAAAATTATTAAAAAAAACTAAAAACTACTTTCTTCTATTTAATTGTCTATTTACATATTGATTAAAACAACTTATGGTTATTAGTTGTTTGAGAATCCACTTTACATAACAAGTGTGCTAACAAACAGAACACTTGGCAACTTTTTTTTCTTCCTTTTTCTGATTTGTCCATTTCAATTTTCCATAATAATACATATAGCTATTAGTTGTTTGAGAATGTGTTTGCCTCATTCATCAAAATAGCTCTATTGTGGCGTAAAGTTGATCTACCCTTACCTGGGGATAGCTTACTTAAGCTATACGTCTAAAATGCTTATGGTGTCATTTATCTATGGCCATTACGTTGTGCAATCAAAATATACTTTTATAATAATGAGTTAAAGCAAATGTTTTTTTTTAAAAGGCCACTGTGCTTTTGTAGTTGACTGTGAGGTCAGTAGCAGTTTCCCGCTGCTGGGCGTGGTGGACTCACTACGTAGCTTGGCAGTGCGACAAACCAGGCCTGGATTTCAGATGTGGTGATGTGGATTGCCTTTTGGGAAACTGAGAGGAAGGCTTATGTATGTATTTAGGAGAAAAGGAGGGAAATGGGGGAAGAAAGGGTTTGTGTAGCTGTTTGAAAGGAGGGTGTGTCAGTTGGTAAGTGAGGAGGAGGTGTATGTGTGTCATTGTGTGGTTCCAAGGTGGAGACCAGGGTTCCCCTTCCTGTAAATTGTTAGAGCCACATGGCCAATCTTGACTCCACTTTGGAAAAACAAAAACAACAAGGGAGACAGGGAGGGGTGTTTGTGTGGTGCATTTGCTTTCTATTTTTCTTCTTCTGGTGTCACTCAGTCGGGTCCGCTGCATTCTCACACAAAGACACTTTTTAAAGCTTGGTGAATGTCTTCCCCTCTCTTTCTCCATTTCCCTTTGTGTGTATGGAGCCGTGGTGTCCTGTGTGGTGTGGCCACTGAAGTGAACCAGACAGCATTAACTATTCAGGAGAGCAGGGTTTCCCTATGACAACCTCTGCTCTGCTGACTTCTGACTGACACGCTCATCTCTCATCTGTTTGGAAGAGCTTCATGGAAGTGTGTGTGTGTGTGTGTGTGTGTGTGTGTGTGTGTGTGTGTGTGTGTGTGTGTGTGATAGGAAGATAGGATAGAGTGTTTGTCTTGATTCCACATTGACCAACTTTCTTGATTTGTTGAAATCAGCCAATGGGTCTTCTGTGTTTCTGTTGGCTGTTCCAGGGGCTTTACTAAACAGGGTGTAATGTACTTAGTTGAGGACATACACACTTTATATATAGAGTCTATGGTTACGACATATGCTTGAGAACATTCCTGCGCGGTTCACAGTACTAAGTGTGATATTTTACAGCAGATTTGTGAAAACAGCAGTAACTGCTTAGGATGTTTGGTGCAGTTTTTAGTTCAACATTTGTTGTCTGACCAACCTTTGAATGCGTAATGTCTCCTGGCTTCTATTTAAAACTGGACTGTTGATCTTCAGTATTTGACAGTAAGCTGCTTTGTCTGCTGCTATGCTTTGTCTTTGCAAGTCAGTTTAAAGTGATCCATTTCAAAATAATATTTTTTTTAAATCATTATAATTATAATATATATACTCAGTTTGCAATAAACTTTTTGAATTGCATGTTCTTTTTACACTGTATTTTTGCAAGTTCCTCTGCTATGCTATTTTGCAGATTTGTAATTAAGTTCATAGTACCCTTTATTAGTATCTAATTTTGTTCTTAGAAAACATCCAAACATTGCAAAAATAAATATTGGATCTAATTTTGTATTTACCCTCTTCAAGTGAGACGTTCCTACCCCTTACAGAAGTGTAGTGATTGTATTGATGACTTGAACATGCAATCAGTTATTATTTGCTATAAAACCCTCTATTGAATTATAAGAAGTGCAACTTCCAGTCTTTCAACAAATGGACTTTCTGTGATTGAAGTACAAATGTTATTCTAATGTCTGCCTTTTCTACATTTGATCCTGCTAACTTACATTTACATTGTGTTTTATGTTCTAGTTCCCGGAGTGCGGCTTCTATGGCATTTATGACAAGATTCTGCTGTTCAAGCATGACACGTCCACCAACAACATCCTGCAGCTGGTTAAAGGTGCCTGTGACATTCAGGAGGGAGATCTGGTGGAGGTGGTGCTATCAGGTAATTAATCCTATTAGGAATACAAGTCAGCCATGTTAACATTTAAATGAACTTCCTTATTTCCTTTTGCTATTTCCCTTTCATTTTGCTCTGCATCACAACTCCTGTTATCAGGTCTGCTTATTTTACTATAGCTGTTATCTTACTCTGATCTGGTATGTCATTGTTTCAAACTATAAGGCTCCATTGTTGGCAAGAAAACTTCCTGACAATCTATATTGTCCATGCTGTTTCCATCGCATCCATCTGATCATTCTTTTATTTGACCAGGATAGGAGTTTGATTGTATCTCGACACCCACTGTGACCAAGCCTGTTTTCTCTTTCAGCGGCAGCCACGTTTGAAGATTTTCAGATTCGGCCCCATGCACTTAATGTTCACTCCTACCGGGCCCCGGCCTTCTGTGATCACTGTGGAGAGATGCTGTTTGGACTGGTCAGACAAGGACTCAAGTGTGACGGTGAGGAACATACGGAGAACAAGAGTGATAAGAACAAATAATGTGGCCCACGAATGTCTCTGAGAAATAAATCATAAAACATACTAACTATGCTCCATCTCCTCCTCTCTCTTTCTCCCTGGTTCTCTGATATGTGGCGCCCCCTGCAGGATGTGGACTAAACTACCACAAACGCTGTGCATTCAGCATCCCGAACAACTGCAGTGGTGCGCGCAAACGGCGTCTTTCCACCACCTCCCTGAGCAGCAGCCAGTCCCTGCGCCTCACCACCACTGACTCAGTGTACAGTGCAGGGACAGCCTCCACCTGCGCAGAGGAAACAAGCCTCATCCGCTCACAGACACAGATGGTACTGATGGATTCATGCACACACAATGCTCTGGCCAGGTTTAGACTATTACAGTTAAGGAGGCTTTCCTGCAGATCCCATTCATTTAACCACGTCACACAGCTTTGATTCATGTTGTGTCACAAACTAGGTAAACCCATTTGAAAGAGGACTTATTAAACCATTTCTACAGTTCACATTTGTATTTTATATTTCTACTAGAACATGATTAAATGCTTCAATGTTCACATAACACATTATCTTTCTCATACAGTTTGTCTGAATATAACTATATTCACCCTCTGTCTGTCTGGTAATCCACAAACTTTCTCCCTAAATTGTTGCATTGAAACTTCTTTCTACTCTTTTCTAACAAAATATTCATAATGTGTTTTTACTATTTGATTTACCCACACACAATTGAATGGATAATTAGTATTTCCTTTCTATTTGACTAGCCACGGACCGCTAGTGATGCCCGGCGCTTTTACACGGGCCGACCTGTTCATCTGGATAAGATCCTGATGAGCAAGGTGAAGGTGCCCCACACGTTTGCTGTCCACTCGTACACGCGACCGACGGTGTGCCAGTACTGCAAGAGACTCCTGCGAGGGCTGTTCAGGCAGGGCCTTCAGTGCAAAGGTGAGGACAGACTGAGAGACAGGTGACGCAAAATATAAAATGCATCTAATTAGATTATATGTACAAAACATGTTTGATTTCTTACAGACTGCAAGTTTAACTGCCATAAACGCTGTGTATACAAGGTCCCCAATGACTGCCTTGGGGAGACCATTGGAGGTGAGGGAGTATATCAATCTATTATCTTTAAATGTCTTTTAACCCTGCAGGGATTTGATCAAATAATGTATGTCTCTATTGTCAGTTACTTTTAGTCAAATATATAATATAAAACATTATCCAATACCTCTGAACTTACTGTAACTAATGTGTTTATCTTCTCAGACAACAGAAGTAACTGTGGTAAGTATCACCGGTACTCTGCATTGATGCATGTCAAGCTTTAGTCTTCTAATAGCCTTAGTCGTAGTCACATGAGCAGCATGTCGTAGTATCCTTTCACAGCCTTTTTTATGCATATATACTTTAAATCAAGGTGCACTCAAACTTTCCCCCTCGTCTTCCGCCCCAGACATGCTGAGTCCCAGCACCGACCCTGAGGTGCCGATGGACTACAGCAGTGAGTACGACGCCTCGGACAAGTCTTCAATAGATGACTCGGACGAGGCCTGCAGCATCCCTGGCTCCTTCTCCCCGGACAACAACCAGGACGGAAACAGTGGAGACCAAAGGTATGGGGGAAAAGGTTTGGAGACAAAGTCAAGGAGTGCTGAAGGCATAGCCAAAAAGGGAAACGATAACCCATTCGACCCTCTTTTCTTCTTCTAGTGTTTACATCCCGTTAATGAGGGTGGTGCAGTCTGTGAGACAGACAACCCGTCGATCCAGTACGTCTATCAAGGAAGGGTGGATGGTTCACTACAGCAATAAGGACACACTGGTAAAACATTACCCATAATTCCCATGCTATCCTCTCTGGGTATCTAGACCAGTTCTTCTAAAAATAAAAGTTGTTGTAGCAGTTGAATATACAGATGTCAATTATATTCTCAATGTACTTCCTTTTCCATTATTTACTGTCCTCTCACCAGAGGCATACATGTCAGCAGTCTATTTCCTATTTCCTCTCTTCTGGTTTGGCTTTGTGCTCTCGGTCCATTCCATTTGATCTTTATGGAAGAACAGATGTAAAGATGCAGATCATTTGTGAATTCAAGCTATCTTTTTCTCCTTATCCAACACATCCTCTAATTGAGGAACCTTTCTGCCTCTCTAGTATTGTCCTTGCTTGTTCTCACTTTCTGGCTTCACTAACTCCCTCCTTTTTTCTTCCTTTCTTTTTACTTTTGTCTTTTTTCCCTTCGTTTTCACCTTCTCATCTTGCAGCTTGTGCTCCTGCCTGTCCTTCTTCTCATCTGGACTCTCTTCTCTTCCTCTGGACATCAACGCAGAACTTGAAATGCGTTCATATTGAAGCCTGAACCATGCCACCCTCTGTCCTCTCTCCATCTCACCCCCTAATGTCCTGCTTTACCTCTGTTGCCCCCACCTCATCTCGCCTTATTCCAACCTCAACAGAGAAAGAGGCACTACTGGCGTCTGGACTGTAAGTGCATCACCCTTTTCCAGAACAACACAACCAACAAATACTACAAGGTAAATATAGTTTACTCTCTGTAAAAGTGTAATCCCAAGTCATTTGTTTGAGGCGTGTAAACTCACTGGTCCACCATCTTGCAGGAGATCCCTCTGTCTGAGATCCTGGAGGTGCGTCCTGCTGGAAACTTCTCACTTGTCCCTCCAGGCACAAATCCTCACTGCTTTGAGCTTATCACAGGCGCTATGTGCTACTTTGGAGGGGAAGACCCCAACACACTCCCACCGCCATGCCTCAACCACCCCCAGACTCTCCCCCCGACCCCTCCCTCCCCCAGCCAAGTAGCTCCCAACAGTGGCATTGGGCGAGAGGTGGCCAAGGCGTGGGAGGGCGTCATTCGCCAGGCACTCATGCCCGTCATCTTCCAGGATGCCCCGCCAGCTGAGGGGAACACAACTCACAGTAAGTGGAGATCAGTCAAATGAAGGTGGTTTATTCGTGGTTATTACTTAATGGCACATTGCAGTTTGAGATCGATGGATATGTATTAAAGTGTAATGTTCCAAAATGTGTGTGCTGTTGCTACGTCAGAAGAAAACTGTGTGCTTGAAAAACAATGGAAAAAAACCAACTTTCGAATTCTAGATGACTTACTCAAAGAGGCCGCTCTTAATCAGAAACAACCCGATGAAGGCCATGCACCAAAACATATTGGTAAAAAAAAAAGGGTAGACTCTTCCAGTAAACTAAGCTGTTCTCTCACAAGTTTGGTATGTTGAACTGAGGTTGATACACAATGTGAAACTCCCACTGCCACACTGTTTAACCATTGTTCCTGGTGCTGTATTTTCAGGACAAGCCTCAGTCAGCATATCTGTGTCCAACAGTCAAATCCAAGAGAATGTGGTATGACTTTGTACATTTTCTATCAAGTTTCTTTAACCTTTACGTTAATTATACTTTGAGGATGATTATTATGATGATGAATGTTTGAAATGTTTCTTCCCTACAGGATATTGGTACCGTGTACCAGATTTTTGCTGATGAAGTTCTGGGATCTGGGCAATTTGGAGTTGTGTATGGAGGTATGCATATGTAGCTGTCAAGGTCAAAGGGCTGTATAGGAAATAATGATGTCTAAAGTTTGCTGTCATGACACCATATTTACATTTATATATACATAATAGATACAACTTCTACTCTGAATAAATAAAGTAACAAAGGATCTTACAAAACAGTACACCACAAAGCGTCCTTGTGAGTACATGTGTCTGTAAGCAGAGAGAGAACCTGCAGATCGTTATGTTAAGCACATCGTAACCTCTGGATGACATGCTGTATCTCAACATGTATGGGTGGTTAATCTCTAACCATATCTATTACTAAAGCTGCATTTCTTCATCAGGAAAGCACAGGAAGACAGGGAGGGACGTGGCTGTCAAAGTCATTGACAAGCTTCGCTTTCCCACCAAGCAGGAGAGCCAGCTGAGGAACGAGGTGGCCATACTGCAGGTAAACACACTGCAGCTGTACATGGATATCCTACAGGCAGTCATTCCAAACCTGGTGTGCATTGTGACATTTATAAGTTTCGTGTTGGCCTAATTTGAGACTCAATATTCCAGAACAATCTTGTGATGAAACATTTCTAAAAGGAAGTAGGTAAGAGGTTCCTCTTTGTTTAATTCTGAGGAACAGTTTAGTGTCTGACCCGAAACCAATCTGTGGTTTGGAAACCATTTCTGAAAACAAAGGAAATCCCCATCCTAGTATTTACCTATATGTTACATGACATTTCATTTAGCTGATGCTTTTACCCAAAGGGACTTCAGTAAAAAGCACCCAGTGTTTTCCCTACCATTGTCTTGGAGGGGCGATGCACCCCGCCAACGGAGCCCCGCCCCCCCCTGAAATTCAAGGTGTTTATAACAAAACAAAAACAAAAGAATTCAATTTTTTTTTCTTTATATTATTATTTTTTAAAATTATATATATATATATATATAGCACCAAATTGAAACTATGCAACTAATCTATATCTACTGTCACTTTTCACATTGAACAAGTGCTCTTTTATTAAATAAACTAAACACTTTCATTTTTAGTTGTGAGTTTAGTGTTTTTGACCCTAAGAAACACTGATGCATTAATCAATAACAATAATCTACAGCTCCTCTCTCTACCCCCCCCTGCTCAGGCAGCACCCCCCCAAAGCAGTAAACCTAGGGGAAACACTGAGCACCTCCACACCACAGACATGCCTCGGGGTCATTTAGGGTTCAGTATTGGGCCCGAGGACACTTCACCTGCAGGGGCTGGGGATCTGACCACACGTGTGTCTTAACAATAGTATCAAAGCACTGAGACAATCTGTTTAGGAAACATGTGCTTGAGCTGGTTGGTTTAACAAGAGCTGTAGGATCAAAAAGGTCACATAATGAAGGTCATATTTCTTCAGATGTAGCTCATGTTCCCAGTTTATTGTTTTGTTTACTACAGTATGTTTTATCGGGAAAACATTCACTTTTTGTTTCTCAGCCTGTTGATGTTATTATTCGAAAACTTTTTGAACAACTCTTTGCTTTTCGCTCATACTTAAATGTAAAGTTCATGATTCACCAGCAGATGGCAGGAGGCAGGCAGGAGCTGCATCAGTCTATGAGCCGTGACTAAAAGGCAGTTACTCACTTAACAGTCATCAGCTTTCAAGTGAAATAGCTTGTTATTGATGCCATGTGGCATTTGGAGAATAATGACCTGATAACACATTTTCTATTCTCATTGTTGTGTTTTACATGTTTTGCTAACTCTGTCCGTCTCTGTCTATTTTTTCTTATTTACCTCAAATCTTCATTCTGTTTCTGTTTCACGCTGTTTAACCTTCTTTTTCAATTATTTTTCTGTGTCATATCTCTTTAACCACTCTCTCTTCTTTTGCCTTTATCTCTTCTTCCTTCTTCCCTCCTGATCCTATTCTCTTGTCCCCCTCTCAGAGTTTACGTCACCTGGGCATTGTGAACCTGGAGTGTATGTTTGAGACCCCAGAGAAGGTGTTTGTGGTGATGGAGAAGCTGCATGGTGACATGCTCGAGATGATCCTCTCCAGTGAGAAAGGCAGATTGCCCGAGAGGCTCACTAAGTTCCTCATCACCCAGGTGAGTTGGTGCCCCAACAAAGAAAGGAGGTGTTGTGTGAAACTGTTTGCTACGACATGGAAAGTATTGCTGTTGTGGTTCATATGCAGCGTGTATGTGTGTCAGCCATATCTTCAAAACATTTCCTGATGCGGCAGTGTCTTATTGTGGTCTGCTACTCTGGCTTGCCGTGCCTATTTATGTTGTTATCATCTTGAAATGGTTGCGCTAGTATTGGGCTTGGCTGGTGCATGAAACTAACTCATATCCTGTTTGTGTGGTTATGCCCAGATTCTGGCAGCTCTGAGACATCTACACTTTAAGAACATCGTTCACTGTGATCTGAAACCTGAAAATGTGCTGCTTGCCTCAGCTGACCCCTTCCCCCAGGTACGCACAACACACACACACACACACACACACACACACACACACACACACACACACACACACACACACACACACACACACACACACAGTACAAAAACTAATAACCCATTCTAAATATGCGTCGGTTATGGTTTTTACTTTGGTCAACGACACGTCAGAGCTGGTGTGGTGCTGTCACTCTGACGTGTTCCTCAAATCTATTTTCTCTTCTCAAATCAAAAGCTGTAATTTCAACTTCTCTGTTTCTTTGTCCCTTTATGAACCCTACATACTCTTTCTCACTTCTCCTTCTCTCAGGTGAAGTTGTGTGACTTTGGTTTTGCCCGAATCATCGGCGAGAAGTCTTTCCGCCGCTCGGTGGTCGGCACCCCGGCCTACCTAGCCCCGGAGGTTCTCCTGAACCAGGGCTACAACCGCTCCCTGGACATGTGGTCGGTCGGCGTCATTATGTATGTCAGTCTGAGTGGCACGTTCCCCTTTAATGAGGACGAAGATATCAACGACCAGATTCACAACGCAGCCTTCATGTACCCTCCCAACCCCTGGAAACAGATCTCCAGTGATGGTAAACACAGAGGGGCATGTCATTGTTACGCACATATAGGGGTGCGCTCAGTTGGCAGTTATTATTAAGGAACACCTAGCCCAAACAAACACAGTCAAATACAACAGTCCTGCAATAAATACAACTTTATGAAGGTTATACTAATCAGATTTGTTGAAACTGTTTTAGAACTGTTGATTTAAGTGTACGCCCATTTAAGAGGATGATGTGTTTTGGTTGGTTTCCATCTATATTATCTTGTGCAGTCATCTTAACTTAAACATGGTCCTTGTTTATTGTATTTCTTTTTCTTTAGCAACTAGTTTGCTTACTGTAGGTATAATTGTTGATAGGTTTATGACCGCTGGTTTTTTCTACTGTGTAGCTATATATATATATATATATATCTAAATATGCTGATCTGTTTTCTGTTGTGTTTCCAGCCACCGACCTGATCAACAACCTGCTGCAAGTTAAGATGAGGAAACGCTACAGCGTGGACAAGAGTCTCAGCCATGTATACCTACAGGTAGCATATACAACACACACGCACAGTGTTTTACCGTTATTAAATGTTCCTGAAATGTTTTAGTACACTTCCACTTCAACCATTACTTCCAATGCAAAGATCAGGAAGCAGCTTTTTTTTCAGATACATAAGTGGTAGAGTGGTACTACAAAATCTGTAGCCATTGCAGAAAGTGGCAAACATAAACACAAGGTGTCTGCACTCACAACCAAGCAGCAAGACCTAAGCTCAAGGCTGATATTCTATCACCATAATGAGGGTAGATTAACTGTTAGATGTTTAACAGTGGGAAAACAGGTGAGCTTTCTCACTGTGTTTAAACCACTTCACCCTTGTTGTTGTTTTTCTTTTGAAAATGTCCTTGCTTTAAAAAGCTTTGAGTCATGGTAGCCCTAACTTCGCTAAAAGTTTCTTTTATAATCACCTCAGAAGCATTCAGTCCAGTGAAGGGTCATTTGAGTTTCCATTCACACACACACACACACACACACACACACACACACACACACACACACACACACACACACACACACACACACACACACACACACACACACACACACACACACACACACACACACACACACACACACACACACACACACACACACACACACACACACACACACACACACAGATACAGGCACACACTCGTGGTCTAAAGTTATTACTGGCTATGAGCTATAATGGCATAAAAGCCAATTTCACTTTAATCCCATTTCAATCTTTTCCTGAAACTGAAATTGCATCCCTGTGTTTATATGTGCTTGCCTCAGGACTATCAGGCGTGGTTGGACCTGCGGGAGCTCGAGACCAAACTCGGTGGGCGTTACATCACCCATGAGAGTGACGACACCCGCTGGCAAATGTTTGCCCGTGAACACACTCTGCCTTACCCTTCTCACCTCGTCCCTCCTGCTGGGGCGGGCTCTGACGAAGAGGACGGGGGGGAGGATGCAGATATGCAAGGCCTCACTGAGAGGGTCAGCATCCTCTGACCAGAGAGGCACAGAGGACTCGAGATTATTAAGGAAGGAGGAAAGAACTAGAGGGAGGATTGTGATGGTCGACTTATAGCCTGAAAAGCATGGGTCTGAAAAGTGTCCAGCTGACTTTACAGCAATGTTATCTTTCACCTCCGCCACTTTTGACCCTCTTTATCTTTTGAATCGTTGAACTCTACATGCTGAGGACTGCTCGTCTCTATCTTACATCCTCTGTGCGGCTGTGCTGGCAGTTTTTACAGACTACATTAGAGTCAACTTTAAATCAGAATGTCTCGCACGAATGACGCGTGTCACGTTCTTTTCCTATCAATGCAAAATGCTTCACAGTTAAGCAGGAAATGCCACCTCACCACAAGCGATAAAGAGTGTCTTTGCTGGGAGGTGTGTTCGGTCTCAACAATGGAGTGAATATTAAAAATGAAACTGTCTCCCTTTTTAAAAGAAAACTTTGCTTTTGCTGTCATTTAATTGGACTGACTGGAATTACCGTCGCCATTATGCATTCGGTAAAGATTGGTTTTAATTTCTCTTCGGTGCTTTACAGAGACAAAGGTCTTCCTCTGGGCTGGAAATTACTAATGTGCAGGCATGGAGGCAAACCCATTTACATTCACAAATGCATCCCCATAAGTGCATGCCCTGTAGTTAAAACGGGAGGGCATTCAGAAAACCATGTGCAATTACCACTAGTTTTGAGCCACAATAGACTCTTGGGAAATACATGTGATTAAAGATGTCTGTGCGGGTTTAAATGAACTCCTGCTTTGTGCTGTTCATAAGCTGATTTTCTTTCCCCACCCATCTCTAAAGTCAAACAGTTGTGTATTTGCATCAAATGCTGCCAATGTAAGCACATGTTTTACACCCTTAACAGGTCAATGGAGACTTGTTTTGGACAACACAGCTCCTCGTTGACTGTTGTGAAGAAGAAAAGAAGTCTTTCTCTCTCGATGTGGTTAGTGCTTTGGCAGACAGCTTGGGTTAGGAAACTAGGTTTTGGAGAGTGAATGCAGTTTGATTATTGACAACCTGTCAAGTCAATATGTTGCATGTTTCTGTGAAGTAGTAGAATGATCTAGATACAATATAAAACATACTGTAGTTATGATGGTCTATTATACACATGTGTAACCTATGTAGTTGTTGAATATGCGTAGACTGTGTATGACATGAAGGATAATCCTAGCCTTGGTAACAGAAAATACAAATGTTGAACAATATTCCTTTTTGCCTTGGATGCCTTATTTATTCATCTGTCCTTCAACTGTCATCTAGAAACTGTAATCTAAATAAGAACCAAGCATGCAATGGGATTAAGATGCATTACTTAGACGTTTAAAAAGCAGGGACTATATTGTCCCTCAGGTTTTCAGTGGCAGAAGACAAGCTTTGGTTAACACGAGACAAAGGAATAATGAACACCTTAATGCAGCAATAACATCCACTCCACTTCATGTCCCTTTCTGGCAAGATTATAACAAACATGCCGACTTCAATTTCTATTTGAATGTACTCAAATAAGGGCTAATGCAAATGTTCAAGGATGCTTGCAACATGGACTAAGGCTATGATATTATTTATGCATTTGAGTACACACACAAAAAAACACTCAGCTCTCATAGAACAAAGACCTGATTTTTTTTTACACACATTACGCCTCACAGAGTGCCACTCAAGAGGAGCCTGTGGCTATAGAGGCAAAGGTAGTGAATTGTTTTCCATTCTGCGATCTGTGCACTTCAGACGGCTACTCTGGTGAAAGCAGACCCTTCTGTCCTCCTACACTACACCAATCATCATTGCCAAACGACACAAGTGATACACTCTGTCTCCTTTTATTTCTTTCAAGTGTTTATAGTGTGTTCAGCATCCTATCATCTACACGTCTCCATGCTAATGTCTCTGCCCTGGCAAGTGGAAATGGAGATCCTCCACTTAGTAAGCAAAGACATCCAAAGCTCAGAGTACCTGGCACCATAAGGAAGTTTCTACTGAGCTTTGTGTCATTGTGCGAGAAGCAATGTTCATATTGTTTTTCAAAGTAAGAAAATAATTTGTCTTGACTGCAGAAAGTCTTGTCTACGGGAAGAACTCGTGAAAAAGCACATCTCAAATGATAGGATGTGCACTCAGTTGCCATCGTAACAGGTTTTATGTGTGGCTTAAGGTTTTCAGTTGAATTTCCACTAGAGATGGAAGCATCTTTGTGTACATAAACATACAAACAAATGTTTACTTAGGCAACTGTTCAGTCAAAAAGGTTAAGATGTTGTTCAATGACTGATAATCAGACTGTATTATCATTTTGTTACAATTTAATTCATTCATTTAATTTTCATTCATCGTAGTTTAATTCCTTAACAAGACTGAGGTGTGGGTGTTTCTTCAGATGTTGAAACCAGGTTAGGTAAACTGACACAAAGAGTTGTTATAACCTATATTTAAAGAATACAACTGGTAATATTCAATGTCTGTTATTGTCAACCAATCATCCGAATATAGACCAAAGTCAACAAAGTGTTAGTGTGTCTCTTTAATGCTTACTTATCATGTTTGCTTTTAGCCCATTTAGAAATAATAGGACATTTAGGATAATGGTTTTTTTTTGGAATCCTTCCAAATTTGGTATGTAGAGTGAGGTAAAAAGGTTTCAAGATTTAAACTCGTTGCTGTTATCGAGTTAGCTCAGCTCACAAATCCTGCTTCCTGAGATAGCCATCACACACTGTCGGTAAACATACAAAACAAAAACCTTGTTAGCTCTGCAAATGTTTTTCTGTAATCGTGTAACATGATCGCAAATTCTGATTGCACTTCTTCATCCACCGCTGTGACTGCAGAGGCATTGACCAGCAGTTCGTCCATGGAGTATACATTAAAAGGCTATGCCAGCTGCTGAGCTTGCCCTCGCACTCAGGCATAATGCATACGGAAAGAGAAAAACTCAACTGTGCAAAGCAATTTGGAAATTTGAGTTATAACTTAATGGACAAATGTTTTCTGATAGAAATTCAGTTTTTTAAAATGGTGTGTTCATGTTCATTATCACTTTTTTTCTTCCATTTCTCTGTTGCTAAATAGTCATTTAACCATCGCTCAGTGTTTCTTAGAAATAAATTCAACGTTTAACATTACATTTTAACGAGGAAGGTCAAGTACAGGTCAGCTAAGGAAGCTGTTGCTAAGAAACAAACTATACTAATCACATTTTTCTCTTGTGAGAAATAGAAACATACTTTGTCAGCTTCATGCTTAGGGATTTAAAGAAAGAGATGATGAGAAGGATTACTCTCCCCAGGCCCCACCAGTTCAAATCAGTTGAACTTGCACATCCAAGTTCTGGTTTTAAAATATCAGACCTTTACATTAGAAAGATTCTTTTTTTTAAAAACAGGAATCTTCAGCACGGTGAGGTGACTGACATGCAACGTGAGTAGTCTTGCTATACGACTCTATCCTTCAATCTAACCTTCACAAGCCATGTAGTCAGAAGTTGAGGCAAGTGTGGTATCAAATCACCAAGTGACTGCTTCAATGTGTTGAGTAATGTACAAGCATCCCCTTCTGATATAAACTGAACTGTTGGCTTCAATATTACTAGTACTAACAAAACTGCAAACCTGCTTCTTTGGCCTTTTCATTACAGAGACAGATACTCAATACTTCTATTGATGAAGAAAAGAAACTATGGATGAAAGATGAGGTAAGAAGTGAGAAAACCCCTTTTTAGATTTTATTCAGAAAGCCCCTTTGGCAAATAAAGTATTTCCATCTCTCTGCTTTTTCTGTAGCTGACCTCAGGTATGTGTTCTTGCTTATAGGAAAGTATACATCCACAGCTGGTGTAAATGTTTACTCCACACATTAACATATTGTCTGCGGGCATCAACCACAGATTCTTTTTATAAACATAAAGACAGTACGGTAAAAGCTGTGGGTATTTCTCTGAGAGGATGGTTTACTGTAACCTTTCTGATAACCACACTGTAGATACCCCTGCCTGGCACAGATGTCCCAACATGTAAATCAGACTCTACTTGCGTTTTGACTTCAATTCTGGTGTAGAAATTAAACGGCAAGCTATTATTTTTACACTACATGAGTCATAATGAAGGTGCAGGGCTCAACTGAGCGTAACAATGAATACACACAGAGAGGAAAGCTGTTTCAAAGCAGTAAATATACTCCATTTTATAATTGTACTCCTGGTTACACTCAGACAAGACTCACATGTGAAAGTGAATTGAGGTCACGTATGACATCTAGCAGAGTCTAATTTCCCTTCAGTAGAGTGATCCCAATATACACTGACAGAAGTCTCCTGTTCTGTCTCTGGTGAGTACTGACATCACAGTTTCATGCTTCTCCCCACCCCTGAAGCACACTTCCTCTGTGTACGTATGCACAACCGAACCTACCTCCTCCTACGTCTTCCCCTTTTTGTACTTCGTCTCATCCTTTCCACACACTCCTTGCTCACATTACAACTGTGGCTGTCAGCGACATAAGTCATCTCAACTAAAAAGGAAACAACAACTCAGAGTAAAGAGAGAAAAAAGCCACCCACAGTTATACTATAGGCTGAAAGTTATCTAGTGTAGTAATCATTTGAGAGTACCATGTGGGACATTGGAGGCTTGGATGCATGTCAGCAGCTTTGAAGAGTCTCTTCTCTCTTCCTCTGACCCTGCTGGACTGAACTCCTTAACCTTTGAAACATCTCTGGAATGTGTCTGGAACTTTCCACCCACACTACAGCTTCGTTTTAAACACCTCCTAACAGAAACAACAGGTGAGTTCATTAATAATTACATTTCTGGGTGTGAGATGTGTGGAAATGATACTAGACACAACTGGAAAGGTAATGTTTCTTTTAATGTTTTCAAGCAGAAGTTTAAAGTCTTTTTTAAATGTGAAACCTTGCTAGTTTTATGTTCATCCCTGTGTTTTTTTATCCGGGGAAACACAGCTCGCTTGAGGCTGTGTGAGTCAGCGTGGCAAAAATAATTAGGTTAGAAAAGTTGATTCTCTGCAAGGTTGAATGTTTTTTGACGTTCTCCCAGTGGTGGTCACTTTAACAGGCTGGAAAGTACAGAAGAGGAGTGCTGTACAAGAAGAAAACATTGGAAAATCATAGGAATATATTGCACAGATGGAACGTTAACCTTTGATAACAAGCTTTGGTATTAGGGAGGCAAGCTGTAAAACATAAATCATATTTGTTGGCTTGAAAAAGGTTATTTAACACAGGCCACATTCCACCTCTTGAGAGAAGAGGTTTAGTTTTGCTCTTTCAAAGCCTCACTGGTGACATGGCTGTGTAATTACAATCAGGTTTAGTTTAGTTTATAATATTAACAAACACATAGTTGTCTCAGATGGAAAAAAGGACGAGCTGAAGTCTGTACCAGAAAGTACGCACATATCAAGAATGGATTATGTCATCAAATCAAATAGTTCATCCCTAGAAAATTACAGCAGAAGATGAAGACCTGTAGCTTCCAAGATAAATCAAACCATGGCAACAGAACAAACGGTTCACAGTTTTAGACTCATTTTTACTAATAGGGGAACAATTTTGGTGTATCATAGCGCCCAGACTGATGACTAAACAGCAGCCTACACATTCATTGTAAGACAAGACCACTGCTTGTGGGTAAAACGTTCTGATACTGAAGTCAGTCTGGTTTCCCAAACTCCATTGTTTGTATAAAATACAAGCCTTCACATGCACACAAAGACACACAAAGACACACATTATCGTTCTCTAAAGATGCTCTGACTCTAAATGGCTTTTCCATTATTGAGTTTGGACCATCTTGGCCCATCTTGGCCCAGACGTTAATGTCATTAGAAGCTTCCTGAGAGCCGAGCCTGAGTGATAGAACAGAAGGTAGAGAGGAAACAAATATCAAAGAATACCACTGTGATACAGAGAGAAAAAGTACAAAGACACAGCGGATTCATTTCCTACTTCGATTTTGAGATGTGTTTAGTAATTGTGAAATAAGAAGTCTTTTTTTATTTCAAACATAACAGTTTTCTCACATATTAAACTGTTTCAAGACAGCACATTACCCCGGGAATAACCCTCCTGCTTGCCCACCATCACACATGTCCTAGGCGGTGTGCAATATACACATAGATAAAAATAGCTAAAAGATCAACAACAACAAAACGGGGTTACAAGGAGAACAGATTAAACGTCTATAGAAGGAAG